TGTTACCCCCTCCCGCCCCCACACTGTACATAAGTATCACATATGTTCTTTCTACAAATTGGTATACAGGTGCCATTTAATCAGTTCAAATTTGGAAGCTACATCTTCAAGGGTCCGAGAGAACTCACTCCTCCCATATGTTCCCCCTTTACATGTTTTCTTATAAGACATACAGCTTAATCAATTAACAAACTAAACAGCTTATATACTGGCAATATATTACAGATGGGTTTATGTCAGGGTAAGAGATCACATGAAATGGACCATGTGGTACCCCAGTGCATGATGTCTTGGTAGAGCCCTGAGGACACTGACAGTAGCATCTCTAAGTTAGTAGTGCTGTATGAATACAGACACATGCGGATCTGTATCTACATCCATCTGACTAGGCCAAAAGGAGCAGGTAGATGCAAGATAGAGACACACACATGCTGGATGGGGCCACTGCACACCTTGTCATGCCATTTGAGAGGGCAGTTACAGGTTGTTGGTTTTGCAGCCATTAAAGTTACCCTTTATGGAAAAGGCTTCTCTAATTGTATTGGATTTACTTTCTGTAGTAAGCATCGTTGGAAGAAGACCAAAGCAAGAGCAACTAGAAGGTAAATATACATTTGGCTTAGCTGCAATACAGAACTCCGGAGAAGAAGCGGGCTGAAAGATTTGTTTAAATTTTAGGCTTGGATCTCTCCCTTGCTGTTTTCTTGTCATTGCGTGTCTCTGTGTGTGCATGAGTGTCTGTGTGTGTGTGTGTGTGTGTCTGCGTGTGTGTGTCTGTGTGTGTGTGTGTCTGTGTGTGCGTGTGTCTGCGTTTGTGTGTGTGTGTGTTCCATCACATCATCTCCTGAAGAACGCTGGGTTTCGCAGGCAGGCGGCTAGTCACCTGCAACAACCCAGGGGTCCTGCCGAGGCTTCCAGGCTGCTGTCAGTGTCAGATGCCAGGGTCTGGTCGGTGGACATGGAGGAGATGTCATTGACGGACGAGGATGGAGGGAGACTCTCACTGCTGTTCACTGCTGCACCTGTGCTAAGAAAATGAAGACCAACATGACTAAATCTCGAACTAGACTCAGTTTAATGTCAGTCAGGATGCAGGCATGGGCAAATACAATAGGGGATGTCTAGTCCATCATTCATTTAACAAGGCTTCACAGAACAACTAATATAGGGCACTATATTAGATGGTGAAAAGCAAAACATAACAACACACAGTCCCTGGTCACAAGTTACTCCCAGCTAGTGCAGTAGTTAGCAAATCTCACTTTAACTTAGAAATCACCTGTGATGTTCTTAAAAGAAAACAAACTAAAAACCCCACTGAAAACCTCAGTCACCCCCTACACCTCCAATATTGTAATTTATTGGCATTGGGTGGAGCCAAGGCATTTGTATGTTTTAAAAGTTTCCTGGAGATTGTGTAGTACAGGGTTAAGACCACTGTTCTGTGGAGAAGGCAAATGAGCAAAACCCTTTAATGTAATGATCTGAACCTGGATGCTTTTAATGCAGGGAGCTTTTAAAGCAAACATATGTAAGGATTTTATCCCAGAAATATGGGCTGAGGTGAAGCCCAGAAATCTGAATTACTTGGAAACTACAGCTCTGGAAAAAGGAATGAGTATTAAATAAATATTATTACATAGTCATTAATAT